TTGGAAACGACTTGCCGTCTCCAATACAAGGGCCAATAAAAGGAAGGTGACGATCTTGTTTGCGGATCTGGTAGTGTCTTCAGTTGGGATAGATAGAGACAACGGGGATGTGTCCACTCACAGCGTGTAATATCGAGAGATCAGGTATGAGTTGACAATTGCGCCAACCAGAGCGTAGGAGATCTGAGACACTGGTACACCCCATGTCTGGACCGACCGATATCAGCACAAATCGACTTCATGAAGCAGGATGACACGCACAACGGTTGCAGCTTCCGCAATATCGCCTGTAGGACGTTCAATCAAGGCCGTTCGCGGGGAGGGAATAAAACAAAGCTGACCCCAGTGTGTGATGAGTGGCTGCAGAGAAGTTCAGTTCGGGCGCACGGGAGAGCGAGGTAAACGTACCGCGTAGACATCCCCATATCCGCCGATCAAGCCCACAACGGTAATGAGTAGAGTCGATATCACGAGGCTCTTCCTGGTCCAGCTATCATTCGGGAAGGTGCTGAAGTAGTGGGTGGCCTGGGCAAAGCACAATCCAAGCAGGATGGATGCGCCCCATGTTCCGATCAAAGCCGTTCTGTAGCGGTCAGTCAGGACTTGGTCAGGACAAGGAGACAGAGATTGGAAGAGACCCACCCGAAAAAAAGGTCGAAGACGCCCATCGTTCACCGTCAATGCCCAGCTCATGGGCCTTGGTTTTAAAAGTGCAAGGACTAGGGGTCATAATCGCCGATCCAACCTCGAGGCTGCGTAAGGGAAAGAGCGGAAAAGGGGAAATTAACAGAGAGGGGCCTCAAGTCTAAGTGTGCAAATCCATTCAACCGAATCTCGATTTCCGGTGATACCTCATAGGGCAGATTACTTGGCGATGGAGGTACGAGATCAGAAAGTGCTTGGGGCATTAGTAAACTGAGACATCCAATTTCTGCCGAAGGAAAAGGGTATAGTACAACACCATCAAACGCGCAGAACCTGTGTACAAACCTACTTGTTTCTTACTACGGCCGCCTCGGCGAGCTCTTGCGCCAACACCTCGTCCGGGTCCCGTGCACGTACTTCGGGAAGGAGGAGTGTAAAGCCCGCGCCAGCGACGCAGCAGCCGACAAAGACTGCGAACCTCATGTGTTAAAAACTTGTATCGAGCGCGCAGAGGAGATTGAACGTACTCCAGAGCACCTTATCGGTACCGATATCCTCGCTGAGCGTGTTGAACGCCAGCGCGCTGACGATCGCGCCTGATTTCCCCGCCGCGGCGGACAGCCCGTGGGCGAAGGCGCGGAAGCGCGTGGGGAATACTTCCGCGGGATAGCACTGTATCGAACATTCTGTCTAAGTTTTGACATTTGTGCCTTGCACAGATGGCTTACATACGTCGTTCTGCAGCCGTGGATCTCAGCGTTTGTCATGTCCTTGGAATGACCTGACTCACGTATTAGCCCCAAAGTTAAAGAAGAACTAAAAACGGTGTTCAGCACTCGAAGAACACTGAAGGACATTGTTACCTGAAGGAACGCAAAGCACACGACAAACGCGGGCTTGCTCAGGGTATGGAATTTACCCGCTAGAATCGCCACTACATAAACGTACGAATTAGTCAGTGTTATACTGCATAGCAGATAGGGATAGCATACGAAATAGAGCGGCGAGGAGGAACCCCTGGATCTGGATCCACTTCCGGCCGAGGGTCCCAATTAATAATATGGTGGCGTAATAGCCTGCCAAGTATGAGGGCGAAACATCTGAGCTGAGGCGATGGCTTACCAGGGACAAAGCCAAGGACCGTGATAATGATGTTCCCGGTGGATATTTTAAAGAGCTTTTCCCAAGGCGTGCCCGTCTTGCCATCGAATCCGATCTGCTGCAGCACAACATTTTGGTTCAGGTTGATTCCGTAAAAGCTTGACAGAGGGTCAGAATGCACATTCACAAGAGCTTTTAAGTCCGCACGCAATGTCGAGGAGGAACCAGCACATGCATGTACCGATGAGCAACTTGGCGTGCCGCCACTCGCTGAAGTAGATGACAAAATCTATATCCCAGGGTGAGTAGTTTGAGACGCCAGGCACCTTCAAAGTACCTCGGAACTGCGTTTGCTTCTCAGCTACCTCCACCGTGGTTGCAGCATGCGTCGTTGAATCTTTCTTGGCAGCCTCCTCTGCGGATGCGTTCATCTGGCGGAGCTCCAGTACATTTTGAGCTTGCTGCTGCGACTCCACGAAGCGCTCCGCCTCTGGGAGGGTGAGGCGTTGGTAGAGCGTCCCAAAGGCGGGGATGAGCGACAGACCAACGACGATGCGCCAAACTGCACAGATTATAAGCCGGACAGTGGACGAAAAGGAGACCACGCATTGCGCACCGCCGTCGACCTTGCTGGTCTTGCCTTCGTCATTCATCACATGCTTGTACGCCGCAAGGACCACGATTGTGACAAGCGACCCGACGAGAGATCCCCAGCCCTGAGTCCGGTGAGCGATGTTAGTCGGGGCGGAGACAATTAAAAGGCGGACCTGATTTGAGAAGATATACGCAAGCATTGTGCCTCGCTTCCGAAGAATCGCGCGATCGCTGGTGATTGACGCACTCATAGGATAATCTTCAGTGCTGTCAACATGACTGTGGATGTGGGGAGAGGATTAAACACGTACCGCCTCCAACACCGATGCCAAGGATGATGCGGAAAACGGAGAGATATATGAGGCACGAGTCGGGGCTCAATGTGCCTTCGGAAACATCTCAATGGCGTGTGTGTATAGTGCTGCAAGGCTCGGTGGGGGTGGTGAGCGACATGATGGTCGCAAATATGATGAGCATGAGTTCTTTTCCGTCTGGGTATCAACAGGTGAATGATCCATCGGAGTAGCCACACAACTCACAGACGGCCTTTCTGCCCAGGGAATCTGCAAGATATCCTACACCGAAGGTCAGCTGAACCATGCGGTTCTGTAGGGCCAAACACTTGACGCACCGAAAAGAAACTGGCCGATGACACTGCCGATGTTCGCGCTTGCCTTCAACAGTCCTTGTAGTCCGGCAGGGAGGGAGTTTCCGTCATACAGCCGGTACTGAAGCATTGTCGCAACAGGCTGTGTTTTCAGGGTGGGGTTATTATTAGAGTCGACGTGTAAAAACGCAAAGGAAAATTACATTGATGACGAAGAGGTCATACGCTTGGGAGAAGCTCAGCAAAAAGTGACTTTGCACTGTAATATGTCGATTCACCATCGAGGAAAAATCCAATCTGTGTATGGCCGTAAGGACTAGCATCGCAATAGAGTCAAGAGCGTACCCCAGCGATTCCCAGGAGCTTGACCTCGGCATATGTAAGATAGAAGGGTGGTGTGGTAGAGTTTTCGAGCTCAAACCCTGCTAGGTTCGAGTGGGGGCGTTTGGAGGCGGACATCGGAGTTGGATCGAGAGGCGGGTGGATGAGCTCATTTATAACGACTCCACATGCGCTATGTGCGGTTAGATAAATGCCTAGACTTCGATCTGATTGGAGGACAAGACTCCGAGTGGGCCCGCGAAGGGCGAGCCGGTTTGAACGGTCGCACTTTAGCCCTCTGCCGCAATTCGTGCTCCAGAGAGAGATTCAATCATGAGGGGATAGTCAGTTTCGTCCGGTGCATTTAGCCCAATACGAGCCAGCTGGATAGCGGCGAACTCACGCTTTAGTCACATTGCCTCGACGACGAACGTTTGAAACCGTAGCGTATGCCGGCACGGAAGCCATGCGTGAATATCTACAGAGTTGGCGGATGTCGGACGACCGTGAGGCCAGTATACGAACCGGCTGCGGATTCCGAGCGCTTGAGCAGTCGCCCGCGTGCATTGCGTCACTGAGATCTGGAATTATGCCCAAGCGAAGAACAGCGCCGTTATACGGTAGGACTTGTTTTTGGACGTTTTGAATGTGGTGGGAGAGGAAAAAGAAGGATCACAGGGGCAGCGGCGGTTTGATCCGCAACACACGATCACGTGCGCCCTTAACGTCGTTAGTACTTCAGCTTGCGCAGATTCAATATAAACCAAACAAGGTCACATTGCTCTAGTTAGGTCCTACTCCCGAGCAAATTCCCCTGCCAAGGCCTATAAAACCAAACATTGCCCGGTCCCGTCTTTGGATCAATAGTATGCTGGAATCAATCAAGGTTCAATGTGAACCAAACATTAGCGGTTCCTCACTCGGGGAATATCCCACCATCTGCAGGAACCAAAACGAACCAACAATTGGAGGCTTCTCACTCATGAAGCTACTAGTTTATAAAACACGATCAATACACATGACCCTAGCGAGAAGCGGATAACTCGAAAATCACAGATGAATTCACTCCTCTGGAAACGTGCCGTTTTGCATCTATAAAGCAAGCTTGGAAACACCAGCAAGCGGCCCCTAGTGTATTCAATAGGTTCAGTCTCGCACTACATATCCGAATCTCATCCCCTTCATGTGGTTATTCTGCACGTCCGGAACCGTTTGAGGATTCAACCTTATGTAGAGTGGCTAGTGTCCAACACATGTTCGATTCAGGATCAAAGGAGAGTTTGGAAGTATCTTGCCCGCCGCCGATAGCAGCTCATAACCACCCGAGTTCGACTGCGAAGAGTGAGAAAGTCCCGTGGCTTTATTGACCGCTATACCGACCGCCAGCTTGGCAGATTCGAATTGGTGCAGGGGTCAACATTTTCCCATATTGCTACTTACAACCTTTACCGGCAGTGTTGGTTCGCGAAGGAGTATTATTTCCTTTTAGACCTAGACCAGTGGGCAGCTTCAAGTTTGACCTGATCCAAGTATCACAATGCACATCTCACACCAAGTCGACCCTAGCACACACATCCCTGGCCCTCAGATGAGTAGCCGAGATAGCTCTGGAGCCTTTTCGCAGTTCTGTTAACTTACAATTCCCAACAGGAAGAAAATTGCTCCTCAAAACACAGTTTGATTACTTGACCAGGCTCCGAGAAACAACCATCCCTTTTCTCAATCCTTCACCTCCGAATTGGTGTAGGGGTTAACATTGCCGCCTCTCAGGATTACGTAAACACAAACCCCGCCTCGTAACTGGTGCGCGGCAGCCCGGGGTTCGATTCCCCGATTCGGAAGGACGTTGTTTTTGGGCAATTTCTTTTTCCTTGTCTCAGGCTCGGTGGGCACCAGAGAGAGACCTTCGCCAAATTCAATCAAGACTTGTTCAAGACGACCGTCGAGAATTCTTGTCTGGCAGCACTCGTGTTCCAGAAGATAGGCTGGGAACTTACCGGGCGGTGCTGTGCGGTTTCCTCAATCACTCTAATCTACGCAAATTTGAAGCCCGCAAACCCGAACGAAAGAATTCCTCCAACAAGCATCCCGAGTAAACTAATCAGCAGCTGCAGCAAGGGCATTGCCTATCACCAACACCCCGGTAACCGTATCCGCCGCATCCGCGACACTTTGCGCATCCACCTTCTTCCACTTATCCTTCGCGTACGCGACCGCATCCCGTGCATCCACCTTATCGAGCTGACTCTTCGCATACGATGTCACGCGCTTGAACTGTCCCTGCTCCCTGGCGAGCAACTGCACCTGCGCCATGCGCGCCGAAACGGGGGGTTCGGCCTCGCCAGGAAACGCACTCCGCGGCAGCTCGCCCCACCCGCGCACCTCGGGGAGGTCGTACATCCGTACAACGACGGCGAGGCTGCGCCAGTGGCGCTCGGGGTTGCAGAGGATGTTGATGGCGGTGAGGGCCGTGAAGCCCTTGCGTGTCAGCAGGGGCATTAGCCCGCCGGACGCGGACGGGGTGAGTGCGCGCGCGAAAGACTTGAAGTGGCGCTTCATTGTATCGGGAGTGGCAGCTTTGGCCGGCCGGGGATGGAGAACGTATTCGATCCCGAGCAGATCGAAGGAGCAGCGGAGCGCGGCGTCTGCAGTGTCTTCCTTACTCTGGACGGACGCGATGAGATTGACGTGCCCTGATTGATTTCGCATTAGAATTTATCGCTGATGCGCATATTACAGGGACGCACAAGTGTTTTCCGGCCCAACGAGTCCCTGGTTGATGAGGAAACGGGAGTACACTTCGGGTGTGAGAGTCCCAGTGCGCTTGGTGTCGAGGTACGTGAATATCGCGTTCATTAGGTGAACAAACACCGGCGTTGTCTTTATCTCTGGCGTGAAGAAGGGCGCCCAGCCGGGGACGAAGAGCACTTCGGGCGGCGGGCTGTCCACTTGCGCTGACGGACTGGACGTGCCGCCGATCGATGTTTGCGCGGGAAAGTAGCTCTCGCTATCGCGCCGCACCATCGCAGATGCGGACACTGCCACGCCACTGACTTGGCGCGACGGGCCCGGGGCCGATGCGTTATCGGGCGTTGGTGCGCGCCTCACCGGGGGCGTATAGGCAGACCATGGTACAACTTCAGGAACATTGCGGTCTGCAATATTACCTTGCGGTACGATCTGCGTGGCAGGTGTATTGTACACCGGCTGCGCCTCGAACACCACAGGTGTAACGATGGTGGTTTGACGCGCAGGAAGCGGGAGCGGGGGTAATTGTTTGAGGGGCGTATTGCTCAGGGGTGGAGACCAGGAGTCTAGAGGTGGAGTTACCGGAGGGGCGGCTGGCTGGATCTCTGCGATAGACGCTATGGAGCGACCGCGAGCCATGGTGAGCGTCAGGAACAAGGGTGGTTTGACGAGGAGTCATATTCGCAACGTGTTTTCGGTCCATTTGTTGCCGGCTGTCACAACAACGCCAAGGATTCAATCAGACAGTCGATTCTAGCCTATTTGGACAGGGGCTGAGTCCGGCTGAGTGGAAAAGCTACTATTCAAAAGGCTCTACTTTCGATGAAAAGCTTATCGGCCTGAAGAACCAGCCTCTCCAAAATCCATCGCGAACTCGAGTGGACTTTTGGGAAATTTTTAATCTGTGGAAGGGGACGTACTCTGGGGATGCCCCAGTGTCGGCACAGTCTGGTGTACCGTACATGGGAATATATTCGAACCTACAAACGCGGAACCATTTGACTCGGAACATTCGAACGGGTTCATGGATCCGGAGTTGTGATTTTATCTACTGGCAAGAATTTTCATCGGCGCGCTAAAAGTGACAAATTTAATGCATGGTCAGTTGAAGTATCTTTTGCCTTCGTAGCGTAGGAGGAGGTTGGGAGGAGGGGACTGGGAGGAATACTTCGGGTTTGATGTGGCTGTGCTGATCATCACAGCGTCTCTTGTCTCCTTCCGCCGCGCCAGAACTTCGCACGTCGGTAGACCAGGCTCTCGTTACTCTCGATCAGCTGGCTACCGCATCCACAACTCTTCGCACTGAAATTGACCGCCTCACACTCGAATTGCACGCCGCGTCGCTCGAGCGCGACTCGCTCCGTGCGCAGCTTATAACGGAAAAGGCCGCGAGAGAGAAAGCGGAGGAATTGCTACGTGGAGCGGGGTCCCAGTCCCAGGCCCGTGAGGATCGCATGCGCAAGGACGAGGAAGAGATGCAGCACGATCGGGAACAGCTCGCGGACCAGATGCAGAAAATGAGCACCACTATCCGGGCAATGGCGGAACGCCGGGACCACAGACTTTCCGCAGTTGAACTACTACGCCCGCGCACCACCGTTGGCATTGCTGAGCTCACCCGGCTGGCTCAGGCGAACCCAGGACACTCCGCATCTTCCATATGGCAGGCCTCGAATACTATTAATATTACATCTGGTGCGACAAATTTGCCGCGTTATGCTGAGCTGCTCACTCATTCATCCGGTTCCTCCAGCGAGATGTCGCAATCCCAGCTACCCCTGTCCTTCGAGCTCAGCCTCTCCGCCATTGAAGCGAGCGAGAACGGATGCCTTACAGGCTGATGATCCCTACGCGCGCCCCTCATCCATCGGGAAACCTCTTCCGACAACATTGAAACCTTCAATCCTGAGTGACTCCCTCAGAGTCCATCTGGTTAGCCCCAGTCTTATGACCTGGACTTTCTCTTCGTTCTCACGCTTACCAACCAAGGAGCCAACCATTCCAGCACTTCCCCCTCGCCCACAGATTTCTTGGACAGTCATTCCGCGTAAAGCTTCCTGATTGTGCGGTCACAATCTCCTGTACAGATCCCGCCTCCGATTCTCGACAACATCTATGTGCACGAAGGATCCAGTCATTTTCTTTCCCTTCCTTTCTCGCGATTCAAATAAATATCTCCACAACCGACCCCATATTCGCACCCCAAATCCGAAAGCATTAGGTACGTTTTTATCCCATTGGATTCGTAATGCCGCTCACCTGCTTTTGCGTTGAAGCTGCAATCGATGCCAGTCCTTTGCACGTGAACGATTAGACCTGGCTGTTTTTTTCCGAAAGCTTGTACCTCTGCCTGTTTACTTGTTACCTCTTAGCGCAGACTGCCGTGGCTTCCTTACGAGCAACCGTGACTTCTTGGTGCTTTCGTTCGTTGTGTTTCAACTTGAAGGTAATGCTACCCGAAACCCAACCGAAACCACTCAAACCGCACCTGCCCAGTCCTACTGTCCGTCGAGGCATTTGAATTCCCGACATCTCCGGCAAGAGTTTTCCCTCGCATCAGGCCCCCCCTTCACCATTTTTCCTTGATTTTTCCATTGGGTTGCGAAATTGGTGTCATGTTTGGTTCGGTGTTTGGAGTCGGCTTGATGGAGGCTGTGCGGCTTAGTCGCCCGCTTGTCCTTAACCACCACACTGACTCTGCGCCAACTCTGCGCACCATAGTCTCCGCCATGTCGGTTTCGACGAACGCAATGGCTGTCGATGGCCGTACCCAGAACAACTCGCATGGCCCACGACAGCGTGCCTGCGACAAGTGCCGACGCCGGAAGCGTGAGTTTACAGGTTTCTCGCAGAGCGGTCGACTGGGGGCTAAATAATCTGCGCAGGACGATGTACTTCTTTGCGGCTGTCTGCCCGGAATCCATGGTGACCAATTTTCAGGTGATGGCACAGAGAACTGTTCCAGCTGTATGAGATCCAAAGTGCCTTGTACATATTATACGGCAACGGTTTATTTCATTCAATTTGTCCCTCTTTCTCGGTGCCTGATTGTTTTCCGCAGATACGACAGGAGGACGACAGGCCTTCCGATTTACTCAGCAATGCGTACGTCGATGCTCTGAACCTTCGTTTGGAGAGGGCCGCAGTCTCCCTCCAGCAATCGACTCCCGGTCACCCGGTCCTATTCCTCAATGCGATTCGAGCCAGTGCCAAAGCCTTCTCACCTCCGCATGTCGATGATGCGGGCTTTATTGATATCGCCGATAGCTTCCAAGCACTTTCGCTTGAGGGCCCTGCCGTTGACCCCGGATTCCAGGGCAAATCCAGTGCCGCTATGCTTGTAAAGGCAGTCGTAAATGCCAAGTCTGGTCGCGAAGATTCTTCAATGCGTTTTGTGAGTTCACCTGCCCCAAAGCTAACACCACCAGTACGTCAACGGATGTGCCTGACAATAGGACTCTGATAAATCTCGACAGTGGCAAAATCGTGTCGCCGCTCTGCCACATAACTTGTCGTTTCCAGACGAGAGCTCGATCACTTCGCTCGCGTCGCTGTATTTTTCTAACATCAATCCTTTTATTCCGGTAGTGCATCGTCCCACATTCGATGAATGCGTCGGCCAACAGCTTCACATCTATGACCTCGGTTTTGGCAGCATCCTGCTGCTCGTCTGCGCTTTAGGTTCGCTTTACCTGGCTGAGCCAACCCTCTCGAGGCAGGACCGGGAGACGTTAGGATGGAAATGGTACAATCAAGTCGAACTGTGCGGACACTCCCTCCATCGGCTGCCTGCGCCGCATGATATCCAGGCGTATTGTGTTTGTCCTTAACTTGTCGACCATATTTACCGTGGCTAATCAGCTGGCGCCACAGCTCGCTGTCCAGTTCTTGATTTGTACTTCAAATCCTCGCCGCGCCTGGCTGATTGCTGGATTTGGGTTGCGGGTCGCGGAGGACGTAGGCTCTCATCGTAACAAAACTTGGGCCCAGACAGTCACTATTCAAGACGACCTCGAAAAACGCGCATTCTGGCAAGTAAAATGAGACTCTCCAATATTCAGGCCCTTCAATCATTGTATAGGACCCTCTCTTT